ACAGCAGTTGGGGGTGGTTAGTTTGGAGAGCTAAATCCTCCCTCCTTTCCCTTAGTAGCGCCTTCCTGGTCCTCAGCCCTTTACAGCTTCATTCTTGAAGGTCTAAGCAAGCCTCAGACTTAAACATGAAACTCTGAGAGGTATTTTCATTACCACCGATCTGCACATCTTAGTCAATGCAATAAGACAAGAAAAAGAAATGGGAAGTACAAATACTAAATAGTGAGAAAACCAGACACACATGATCCCTGCCCACAAAGACTTCAGGGCATGGTACCTCCAAAAACACTTTCCTATCTAGTCTTTCCTTTTAGCCATATCTACTGCAGGTGACTGAGGGAGCTCTGGTGGCTTAGTGCCTAAGGCAGTTGATTGCTAACCAGAAGGTTAGTGGTTCAAACTCACCAGCCACTCCTCGGAAGGAAGACTGGGTAATCTACTTCTGTAGTGATACTGCCTCAGAAACCCAAGGAGGGGTCACTATGAGTTAGAGACGAGACATAACATCAACCACCACCACCCAGGTGATTAATTATGGGGAGTGGGAAGGAAGACTGTGGAACTTGCCACACATGAGATGCTGACGGAGGCAAACAAGGACTTGGCCCTCAATTTCCTCAGCAGGTGCTACATCTGGTGGTGGTGACCCAGCAGGGCGGCAGCGAAGGGAGGTGGGGTGGCGGAGCATCCAGGGCTGCAGTGTTGTGGAGCAGAGGGGCTGTGGCCCACTGAGGTCTGGTGGTGTGTGGCTTTGGGTTTGTGCTCAGAAGTCTTCATTGATGTTTCTCTCCACTTCCCCCTTCTGGCTAGTTAACCTCTGAGAGACAGGGGGCCAGAAGATTGGACTCCAAACGTGTCACTTCACCATCTCCCGACTCACCATCAGCTGCTCTTCAGGTTCCCCTCGCTGGTCCCTCTTTTGTGGTATGAAGTGCACCACAGACTTGGACACTCTATGGGATCCCTGAGTGCTTGTAAAGGACCCCACGATCCACCTGACCTCTCATCTCCTGGTTCTACCACCAGCCACCATTTTGGTCTGGCTTGAGCTGGCTGAGTAAGGTCATGGATTCTAAGCTGGGTCCTGTCCCTCAGTCTCTGCCTCAGTTGCCTGTTGATGGGGAGGGATAGATAGTGATGCTGGCCACCAGGCTGGTCACAGAAAACTCCTGAAGGAAGGGCCCAGTCAGCAGATTCTGTACGGGCATCTCAAGGTCCAACTCTGGGCTGGGCACGGAGGGGAAATTTGGTGGTGGGTTCTAAAACAGGCCCACAACAGGTCTAGACCTGTGGTGAGTACCTGCCAATGTGTGTGTCCTGTGGCAGCGCGCCCTGTGTCTCTGGACTTTTGGCTGAGAGCAGAGCTGTGCTGAGCACCTGGGAACGTGGCCTGAGTGTTGACGGGGACCAGGCCTTGGCTCACTAGGGCTCAGGTTCCCATGGAGGTGGTGAGGGATGCTGCTGAGGAAAAGTTAACAGGAATGAGGGACTAGGTGTGAGAGGGATGGAGGGTAGTATTTACAAAATTACTGGCTGTCATAGATCAGCCACTCCTTCTGGGCCAAGTAAGCACACCCAATCCTGATGACAGCAACCCTGTGAGGTAAAAGCTATAATTATCCCCAGCATACAGAGGAGAAAACCAAGGTTCAGCACGGAGAAACCACTAGACCACAGAGCTGGGGTTTATTCCCATGTCTGTTTGGGGCCAAAGCCAGGCCTCTCTCTGGGGGCCGCAGGGAGAAGTGGAGCAAAGAACCAAACCAAACTCACTGCCGTCGAGTCGGACCCTATCACTATGGAAGCAGATTGCCCAACCTTCCTTCCGAGGAGTGGCTGGTGGGTTTGAACCGCCAGCCTTCTGGTTAGTAGTCAAATGCCTTAGGCACTGCACCACCAGAGCAGTGGAGCAGTGAAGCAGGGTGTATATGCCTATGGCAGCTTACAGCTCCAGGGGTCCACCAGGCTGGCTGCCTTTGACCCTCCCTGCTGTTTATGGCTCCCTTGGCCTCCGGTGTGGCCTTAGCCATAGCAGTGCAGGATATTGACCTTGGGAACCAAACCTTGAGACATGCAGCTGGGCGCTCCCTGGAATAGAAGTGGCCACCCTCCATGGCCCTGTGCTGGGACCCTGGGGCTAGTGCAGGGTTGGTATGGCAGGCCCCTCCTGCTGTGGGTGGGTGATGCTGCTGCCCACAGTAGCGAGGGGGACTTGGCATCCCCTTCTCACCCTCCCCAGCTTGTGTGTTCCCACAGAGCTGGGATGCCTGGGTTCTGGGATCCCAGGACAAGCTGCCAACTGTAGGCTGTGGGCACAGGGCTGCTGCCAGGCGGGCAGGGTAGAGGGGGTGGGAGGGGATGAGAGGGCTTTTGTTTCCCTGTTTGTGTCCAGATGGGAATCGACTTCCTCCCACTGATGGCCTCCTGGAGGTGCAAAGGAAAGGGCAGCCCCGGGAGGGCAGGCTGTCACTTTGCCTTGCCTTTCTTTGGCATTTCTCTGGGCCTCCGCCCCAGCCACCTCCCTTCTGCCTTAAAGCACACCCTTCTGTACCATACCTGAGCCATGGTTAAATATTTCCTAAATGAAAACAGTTTCAAAGCCAGCTTTGTGAGAAATCCTGGCTGACTCCTCCTGACTCCACTACCTTTTCCCAAATCTGCCTTCATGAAGGGGAGATTCAGCCAGTCTCTCCAACCCCTCAGACCCCTTCCTGGGTCCAGGTGCTCCTGGCAGCCATTTTGGCATCCAAAACAGGCTGATCTTCCAACCAGGAGGCACTTGTTCATCTCCTGTTTATTGAGCACCCATGTGGGCCGGGTGGTGGGGACTGTGGTGAACAAGATCTCAGTTGGTAGGGACCCAGGGCCAAAGGAGCCATGTAAGAGGCCAAAGAGAATCTAGGAGCTATGAGAATAGGGGCTCCAGTCTGTCTAGGGGAGTCCCAAGGAGCTGATATGGAGCCTAGGGGTGAAGAGGAGGAGACGGCCAGGCAGAGGGTGTGGGCAGAGGAGAGCATTCCAGGCTGGGGACCTCAAGATCAGATGCTGGTTTTCCTTCCCCAGGTGTTAAAGTCCCACTGGCTTCTTTCTCTCCATGCTGGTCTCATGAGGCCCGCTTCCTTCCCGTTCCTCCAGTCTCGGCTTTCCCATCTATCCAATGGAGAGCTTAGATTTGATCCCAGAGGGCCCTTCCCAGGTGCAGTGGCCTGTTATTAGGGTTTGTGACTGGCCCGTTAATGAGGGCATACTCCAGGGCAGGGATTCTACCAGTGCCAGAGGTTAAGATAACAGCAACTTGTACTTCTTTAGCCTGCCCGGCCCTTGGACAGCTGCTGTTAACAACCAAAGCCAAAGTCTCCCAGCCACCATGTGATCTAGGGGGACTAGCATTATCCCCATTTTACAGATGAGGAAACAGAGGCCCAGAGAGGAGGGGTAGTCATAGCCCAAGGCCATTCTCAACTCGGAGTTGGGGATGGGGTTTGCTTCTTTCTCTCAGCTTTGCCCTCTGTGGGAAGCCCTCCCTCCCTCCTCTCCCAAGGCAGGTGCCAGCTGTTTGCTCCTCCTCCTCCCTTTCCCTATTCTGGCCAACTCCTGCCAAGTACCTCTCATATGCCAGGCTGATTCAGATGCTGATTCTGACCCCAGGCAGCTTCCAATCTTGGGGGGGGGGGATGCCCAGGCCTCAGAGGGTCAGCATATCCTCCTGAGTGCCTTCTCTCTTCCAGGCACGGTTCTAGACTCTGGGGATAGAGCAGTGAACAAAGACAGACTTGGGTTCACATCTTGGTTGTACTCCTACCTGTGTGATGTTGGGCAAGTCATTTCACTTCTCTGATCCTCAGATTCCTCATCTATAAAATGGGTTTAACAATCTGTCCCTCCCAGTGTTGTGAGGGTTAAATGAAATAATGTTGAAGGTAATTGTTAACATACACTGGGAGCTGCCTCTGTGCCTGGCACTGGACTGTGACAGGCATTATCTCATGCGGCAGTTATTATAATTATATGCAAATGGGTAACTGCAAAGCATTGTGATGGAGGAGGTGGCATTTGAGTTTGGCTGAGATTGTGAGTTGTGGAAATGAGGGGAACGGGCTGTCCCAGCCACAGGGCGCGGGCTGGGTGAAAGCTGGAGGGGGAAATATTTGACATAGTAGGAAATTTTCAGGGCAGAGGAATGGGAAGGACAATGGGACTGGGATCCTAGTGGATCTTGGATTCTACTCAGTATTTGCGGGCCACTGTGTGCCAGGCCTCAAGGTGGGTGCTGAGGACATGGTGATGGCAGAGTCCATGGTCCCTGGGGCCTCTGGAGACCAGGATGTCTTCTTGTGATTGTTTTCTGGGTGGTTTCCACAGCCCTTGGCCTCTGGGGCTCAGCCTGCCTGGGTTCCAGCCCCAGCTTTCATTCAGTTCCTCCACCTGACAAGCCTTTTGGCCTCATAGCCTCTGCTTCCTCCATGGAGGAGATACCTGTACCCCCTCCTGGGGCTGTTGTCAGGGCTCCATTCAAACATGGTAAATCCCCCGGCAGAGTCATGTGGTAAGCCCCACGTGGTAAGTGTTGGGTGTCGCCAACATCACACCTTCCCAGCTTAAGTTCTTTTAACTACTCCATGACTGCATTTCCTCATCTGTCCACTGGGGGCATGGCAGAGCCTCCTTCCCAGGACTGTTTTTTGAGTGAGGTGTGTTGGCACACATGCCAGGTGGTTGTCATTATTGGCCTTGGCCTGCTGCGGGCTGCCCAGTTTATGGGGAAAGGACTTTCCTTTTTAGTGACTGGCCCTAGGGAAGGGGTGGCCCAGCAGAGGGTCCTTCCAGGGCACCTGAAGCTGGTAAGGAGGGAGGCCTTGTGGGTGGCAGTCACCTCTCAAGGAAGAAGGACAGTTTGTGCACAGTCCTTCATTCCTGGGACCCAGGCACGGCCCCTGGGCTGGGCATAAACCTCCCCCTCTGTGGTGTGGAATTACTGGGTGTGTGGTGGGGTGGGGATAATGGAGATGGTAGCACTTGGGACAATTCCACAACACAGGGAAACTGAGCCCCTTCTCTACTCCCTTGGATCTGGGTGGGTGTTCCTGTTGTGCCCCCCTTTTCCCCCAGTGCTCAGGGAACCAGGCAGGCAGGTTCTGGGTCTGCCCCGCCCTAGGGGTGCTACCTGCCTGGTTTCAGTCGGCAAACCTCTCAGCCCTGAAACTGGGCCAGGCCTCATGGGTGAGGCGTGTCCCTGGAGCCCACTGGAGGGACCGGATGAGCCAGAGACTAGGTCTGGCGTGGTGCCCTCGGCGCAGGCCAAACCAGGGCAGAGCCTGGCATGAAAGCCCCCCTTGGTTGACATGAGACTGAATGTGATAGAGACTAGAGCTTGTCCTCTTCCTCCTAGTACCCCACTGTCAGGGTTTTGGGCTTAGGCTCTAGGGTCCCCTGGACCTGGGCTCGGATCCTGCTCTGTCACTCCCTGCCAAGGGACTTGGGCAGGGGATCTCAGTTCTCTGCATCTCAATCTCCCCATCTGGGGTGGCCTGCCAATACTGGCACCAGTTGTCCCTAAGTTTGATTTGAGGATTTGGGGTGGGGGGTATTGGTCCAGGTAAACTGCTCAGCATTGGCCCCTCATGGACTGGGCTCAGGGAGGGCTGTGAGGAGGCCAGAAACACCTTAGCTTGGCATTCAAGCTGCCTTTCCCTGAGGACCCCTGCACTCTTCCTCCCATCCTCAGCTCAGCAAGCCTATTCTCTTCTCTAAGCCTCAGTTTCCTCATTTGTCTACACAGTGAGCCCAGTACTCCATCCCCCACCCTGGTGCCTTGCCAGCTTTTGCCCGGCCCCTGCTATCTGAACTCTGGGCAACCTCAGGAAGTAGCATGATCCTTAACGTTGTCGGTCTGGAAAATCAGAGATTAACGTTCTTCCGGCGGCCTTGGCTGTTGGTGGGCCAGCATGGGGGCTGCTCATTGTCTGTTTCAAGGGCCTCTCCCTGGGTTAGGGGAACCTTGAACAAGAGGCACTTTATAGGAGCCCCTGCTGGTGATGTACCTCCTCTGTGCCAGGGCCAAATGTTTTACATTCATTAGCTCATAACCTGACCAGGTAGGTAATGTTGTGCCAGTTTGCAAGAGGATGAAAGCAAGGTTCAGAGAGGGGAAGTGCCTTGTCCAAGGTCATACAGCTAGTAGGTGGCAGAGCTGGGACTTGAACCAAGAGACTGCTTGTGCACATGTAGAGATGGTGCCCTGTTTGCTGGTGGGGGTTCGGCAGCATTAACTCCTTCCCCACCTCCCCTGAGCCCCTCTGTCCGGCCTGAGGGGAAAGTGGTCACTTCCAGGCAGAGCTGAGTCACCAGCACTCGGATGCTGAGGCCATCATCTTGGTCAGCTCCTGGGGCCAGGGAGGCACTGATTAGATCATCGTTGAGATTTTAGGTCAGCTGAGCAGATGATCTGCACCCCCCCCCCCCAATTTTACAGGTAGGGAAATTGAGGCCCAGAGAAGATAGATAGATAAGGAAGGATTCAATAAATATGAAGATGATCTGCCAGCTCTGACCAGATGGGAGCCAGTGGGGGCTGTAATCTTGGAAGAGTCGCTTTGCCTCTATCAACCTTACTCTAATCTGTAAATGAGACTTTGCTTGCCTCTTGGGACTGGGCAAAGGCCCAACATGAGAATGTAAAGGCAGGGCTTTGTAAACTGACCATGTGGTGTAGTATGAGAGGCTGTTGGAATGAAGAGGTGATACAGGGTGGGACTTTGCATAGACTTTGGCTCGAGCCAAGGTTCAAAACCCACCTCTCTCACCTTCCAGGTTCTGTGCTCTTGCATTGCTGGGTCTCTTTGAGCTTCAGTTTCCTGATCTGTCAAATGGGGACAGCAATACTTGTTAGGATTAAATGAGCTGTCAAAATTCTTGACCCAGCTGGTAAATCCTGGGAGTTCTGAAGGCAGAGGTAGGGGACCAGCTGGTGAGGGGCCCCTTCTGGGTCTTAGAGAGTGAGCTGCAGTGGGAGTAGAGCCTTCCTGAGATCCACCGAGCACACCCTTTACTCAGTTGGCTTGCTGAAATTCTTGACTCTTGAGTGTCTGTGCGTGTGTTGCGCCCTGGGCTCCACACTCTTTCGAGCCGGACGGAGTCCAGTACTCTAGTACCGAAGAGGTGAGGTGGAGTCAGAGGCCCAGGGATGGGCACTGGCTCCCTAAGTTGCAGAGCAGAGTGGCAGCTGGGCACCGAGTAGCCCCTCAGCTCACCTCCCCGCATTCGTAGGCTGCCCACTTGGGCTCATAGGGAATCAGGATCTCTGCAGCCTGGCCCTTGTGCTCGGTAGGTTTTTGTGGATGGAGTGAAATGAACTTTCGTGAGCCATTTCATCTTTCTCAGCTTTGGTTTTATACCTGTAAAGTGAGGATTTGTATTTAGTTACCTGTACTTACCTCTGGGGCAATTTGAAGAATCTGGGTATGTGTGTTGGGACAGAAAACACGGAAGGTCCTGTGTCTGACTAAGGTGAGCTTGCCTCCTAATTCCAGGGAGGTGTTGTTGGTGGAGGGGGACAGAGAGGGGCGTGTGTGTCAGGGAACTTCAGGAAGCCCAGCCAAGGTCAGGTGGGAGCCCTGGGTCCCCGGGTGTTCCCTGGACACACACGCCCCTGCTTCTTTGACCAATCTTTATCTTTTGAGGACTCACCCATCATTATAATTTTATTATTTTATGATTCTTGTCCTGTTCCTTACAAAAAAAAAAAAAAAAAAAACTTTGTTGGATTTTTTAACTATAAAAGTTATACCTGCTAATAAACATTACAGTCTCTTGCCATCATTGTTATAAACTGAGTACTCTTATGATTAGTAGTAACAATTATGGAGGCCCTGAGCTGTGTGCTTCACATGCTGTCCGTGTGGATGGGTTCTGTTAGGCCCATTTTATGGATCAGGTGCTGGGAGGTGAGGCAGGGCTGGCAGGGCTAGTGTCTGGCAGAGCTGGGGCTGTGGTCCCTGCCCTGTACTGCCTCCCTGCTGAATGGCTGTCCTCCCAGGAGGCTGTGGGGCAAGCCCTGTCAGTCTCCACCCTCCATCCCCCACCAGACCCTCTTGCCACTTTCCTGCAACAGCACCTGTGGCTGAGTCAGTGTGGGAGGGAGGGTGGGTGAGAAAATGTAGGAGTTGGGTGAGGCTGGCAGCACCCACAGGCCGCTCCTTTGTAGGATCTCTGTAGCTCACAGAAGCAGCTGCGTTCTTCAACCAGTTCCAGGGCCCAGGACCCCCAGGACCGGCCCTGCCTGTGGAGATGGGGCCATAAGCCTGTTTCTTCTCTGTCTTTTGGGGATAGTGATGCTCCATGACCCTGAAGCAGGCTGGGGCCCTTGTCCTGACTGCCTTAGTCCAGCTGTGTGTCCTCAGGTGAGCTCCTGACCCTCTCTGGCTCCAAGTCTGCTCCGGAGTAGTGAGCCTTGGTCTCAGAGGCCCTGTTCCCTACTGACATCTGCCCCAAATCCGTGGGGTGTGATGTCTCCAGAGTGGTGGGAGGAAACAGGAAGAGCTGGTGTAGGCAGGTGTGGAGAAGAGAGGGCACCCTCCCAGGACCATCCACACACATCCAGGCAGGGACTCTGCCGTGGGAATTGGTGCTGTGGAATCCTTCTGGCAGCTCCAGGGAGCCTAGCTCTGGCAGGGGTGGGAAGAAGGGAGTAAGTGGAGTGCTGGACAGTGGGCTGGGGTCCCAGAGCTCAGCAGCAGATCAAGCAGTGAGGCCTGGCCCTGCCTTTGGGGCCTTCGGTGCGGGCACATCTGAGTCTCTGGCCGTGTCTAGCCAGAGAAGCTAAGACAGTCCTGTGCAGGGCTTCTCCCGCTCAAGCCCTTTGTCCAGGTTGGCCCTCCATATACGGCCTCCTCAAGTACTTCCAGTCTCTCAGGCCCCTCTGGAACTCCCCCCAGGTCTCCCACAGTGCTCAGTCCTCATCCTCTGCGTTCCTGTGGCTCTTCTCGTATACCAAGCATGTGGCACTTCCTCCCTGTCTGTCTTAGGACATCTCTCAAAAATGTGCTCCACGCCGTCCCTGCCAAGAAGCCGTCCTGCAGCCCGTTCCAGCAGGGTCTTCCCTTCAGCTGTCCCTCTGCTGCCAGACTGACCCCGCTCCTTAGTGCTGGCTGGGCTCCATCAACCCCTTACCGAATGCCTTTGCCCCGCCCCTCACCTGACACTTCAGGGTTCTCATGTTCCCCACAGCTCTCCTCTGTCCTTAAGGGGCTTGGCACAGAGCTGGCACTCAGGGGCCACTTGTCCACTGGACGGTCCCCACCATTCACTCCTTTTGCTCAGCTTCTGTCTTGCCTGGTGCCTGGGATCCCTGGTGAGTAGAAGGGAGGTGGCCACCCTTGTGCCATTAACAGTCCTTACACAAATAGAGCATTGCTCCCTGTCCTGATCCATTCAGGAAGAGCAAGCTTGGTTAATGAGAGAGATCCCACACTCTCTGATCTGGTTGGCTCTGGAATGTCAGAGAGCAGAGGATTGTCTGAAAATCAGTCCAGTTCTATAGAGTTCTTGAGTTCAGATAGCGAGGCAGGCCTGTGATTACAGTTGGGTGGTTTGATGGGGGATGCAGGGTGACTGGGGCTGGAGCTCACCTCTTCCATTTGGAGACTGTCTCCTTGTTTCCCTACTCCATTAACTGAGCAGTTTCCCCGAGTTTCTGCCCATACCCTGTCTGTCTGCTCTCTGCCCTGGTCACCTCTTCTCCCCACTCTTACCTCTCCTGATTGCTGGCCCCATGGATAACTTTTCCGCATCCCAACGTGATATGGTCAGAATGAATTCCATCCTCCAGGAGCACTGATTGGCGCCATGGCTTGAACCTCATCCTCTTCTTCCCCTCTGGCTCCTGCCCTGACAGGTGGCCAGCACTGCACTTTCTCAGGCTTTCCTTCTCCAACCTACTTCCTCCCCATCCTGCAGCTCCTCCCGACTGGGGCCTGGGCTTCCTCCTGACTTGCCCTTGCCCTTCCAGTCCTCTACCCTAGTCCAGTCCCTGAGGTCCTTCTACCCCGGTACTCCTTGCCTGGTCTCGACTGTGTTGACCCCACAGGTGATGTGCTGTGATGTCACGCAGACCTGAGGGTGAGGGTGGCTGTCCCAGCTAATCGGCAATAAGGCTGGATTTGAGAGTGTGTGCACGAGGGCAGGTTCTGGTCTGGTTTCCCAGAGCTGGGGCTGAAGGGCCCTTGGAATCAATGAGCCCACGTCTGCATTGCTTAGGCAGAGCCTGGCTGATCCTGCCAGCCACCTAGCCCACTAGGTGCTCGGGCAGAGGAGGGGCCAGATCTTGGCCCAGGTAGTGTGGCTCTGAGCTTCCTTATCCCTTACCTGAGGAAAATAAGAGCATGGGCTCTCTCGGGTTTTCGTGAAGATTCTTTGGGATTACGCTGGTAACACTTACCTGAGGACTGGCCTTCCAGTCAGCGTGACTCATGGCGACCTCCTTTTGGTAGAACTGTGCTTCACAGGGTTTTCAGTGGCTGATCTTTCTTCCAAAGAGCTGGGTACTCCAACTTTTCCTTAGCAGTTGTTGAGTTAACTGTTTGCACCACAAAGGGACTCCTGGCTGGGGTTACACTCAATAAGTGGTAGCTATTCTGATGGTGATTACGGTAACTATCAATATCATTGTCCTCTGCTACCCTATTTTCTCTTCCCCTCCCCCCAAGTCATTACCCTACTCCCTACCCTGCCTCATCACTTTCTTGTTGTTGTTGTTAAATTTTTATTGTGATTTGTGTGAAAGTTTACAGAGCACATTCACTTTCCAAACAGCAGTTCACACACACTTTGTCTCATGACATTGACTGTAATCTCTCACAATGCAACAGCTCTCTTCCCACTTCCTCTCCATAGGCACCTCTTCCCTGTGTCCTTCCCTCCCCTGCACTCCTGCCCCCCCCCCAGCTGTCTCCCTGTGCATACATCGCCCTTCTTTCTATTTCCCATGATTGTTCTCTCCAAGGAGTGCATCTACCTAATGTAAATGTTAGCACATGTGCCTGTGTTTTGTTTGGCTATAAGCCACAGGAGTGGGTTCAGTTCCAGGCCTGAAGGGCAGCTACGGGCCATAGTCTCAGGGGTTCCACCAGGCTCTATCAGACCAGCAAACTTGGTCCTTTTTTTTTTTTTTTTTTAAAGGATTTTGAGTTTTGTTCCACATTGTTCTCCCACTCTGCCCAGGATCTCCTCCATAGATCCCCCTCCCAGTGGTTGACAGTGGTAGCCAGGCACCATCTGGTTCTTCTGGTCTCATAGTCATATAGGCTGAGGATTGCATGGTGTACCAGTCCCTTGGACTATTATTTGCACGCATCTTTGGTTTTCTTCATTCTCCTTTGCTCTGGACGAGGAGAGACCCATCGTTGCATCCAGATGGCCACTTGCAAGCTTTCAAATCCCAGTCGCTGCTTGCCAAAGTAGGATGTGGAACAATGTTCTGTGTATGCCTCATCACTTTTTCAAAACAATTCCCATGGTCTCTAAGAGAGTTCTGGTTGTTTATGGTTTTTGAAAAATAGGCATTCAAAGCAAATTCCTCATTTGTTCTCCTCTTCCTCCCCCAAATTGGAATCTGGACTGAAAGGAATTGAGGGGCAAAGATGCCCCAGATGGGAGTAAAGCCCCCATTCCTTCACTGAAGCTAGGGGTGGGGATGGGCAGACATCAGAAGGGTCAGGTTCAGTCTAGACCCTGGGGATGCTGTCGCTCTTTTTCTGTGGGTGCGGGCTGTGGCAGGCCTCTCAGCCTATCTTCTCGGCTGCTGCCTCCTGATTGGGCCCAGAACTTCATCGCCCCCTCTGCTGCCCATTAGCTGTGTGACCTTGTGCCAGAGACTTAACCTCTCTGGGTCTCATGTCCTCCTCTGTAAAGTAGGGAGTCCCTGGGTGGCACAGATGGTTAAGGGATCAACTGCTAAGCGAAAGGTTGGCATTCTGAACCTTGAAAACCCCAGGACTGCAGTTCGGCTCTGCACACATGTGGTTACCATGAGTTAGAATCTACTCAGTGGCAACTGTGGTTTTTTTTTTTTTTTTTTTTTTTAAAGTGAAGATAATATCAGCCCTTTCCTTACAGAGCTATTGAGAAGATAAAATGCCATGCCTCCTAGCTGGGTGCTTTAGTTCCTGGGAGATCTGCTGCTGCAGTGGGAGGTCAGGCCAGCCCTTTGCCATTTGAGAAGGACCAGGCTCTGGTGGTATAGTGCCTAAGGCATTTGACTGCTAACCCGAAGGTTGGTGGTTCAAACCCACCAGCCACTGCACAGAACGGAGACTGGGCAATCTACTTCCGTAAAGATTTACCACCTTAGAAACCCAAAAGGGGTCGCTATGAGTCAGAATTGACTTGTTGGTAGTGAGTTTGGTTTTTTTGGTTTAGGACCTCAGAGTCTGGATTCTAATTGTCAGAGATGGCAGGGCCTGTCCATCACTGAGCCTAGCCCTCTGGCTGTGTAGGGGGATTACCAAGGCCCAGAGAGGGGTGCTGCACCGTGAGCCACTACCAAGCCCAGGTCAGGACTTGAGCTGCAGCTTCTCAGGACCTGGCAGCCTCTACCGAGAAGAAGGCTCCCTTGTCGTGTATCCCGCTGCTCTCCGGCCTCAGTGTCATCCTCTGTAAATAGGGACGTGGAGGCAGCCCAAATACAAACATCTGGTGGTGCTGGGCCCGCTCTGGAAGCCATAGTACCCACCGTTCTGTTCAGAGACTGCTTCAGCTGGAGAGAGAGGCAAAAGGGCAGTGGAAGTGGAAAAAAATTGTCAGCTTGGTAAATGAGTTAATTTTAGAATGGTTATTTTTAATTATATAAGGAATCGTGCTTGTAAAATAATTCAAATGCTATAAAAGTAATTAAAGCCAAAAATGAAATCCATTCTGCAGCCCACAGCCCCCCACCCAGGAGTCCCACGTGTTACAGTCTGGTGTGCTGCCTTGCCGACCTTTTTCTCCAAGTGTTCAAACATCAGTAATTTATATATACAAACAGGAATAACTTTTCAAATGACATGCATTGTACGTGTGCTTCTGTAACTTGCTTTTCTTTACTTAACACAGGGTGGACGCCTTCCCTTTGTTGGTACGTGTAGAGTCCTCTCGATCTTTTTACTGTCCTGAGGGAGGGAGCCCTGATGGCACAGTGATTAAACACCTACTTTCTAACCAAAAGGTCAGCAGTTTGAACCCACCAGCTGCTCCATGGGAGAAAGATGTGGCCATCTACTTCCGTAAAGTAAAATAAGGATTACAGCCTTGGGAACCTTACGGGGCAGCTCTCCTCTGTTCTGTAGGGTCTCTATGAGTCGGAATGGACTTAACAGCAGTGAGTTTTGGGGGAGCTGCTGTATGTTGAACGAGTCCCTATAGAGGCACATTTAAGTAGTTTTCAGTGATGGCTTCTGGGCCTGTGCCCCTCTGTATTCTTTGAACTGTTCCGCGGCGTAGATTCTTACAGTTGAGCCCAGCATCAGAGGGTGCGGAACGCACCCCTAAAACCATGGATGGCACCGCCAGTCACCCTCCAAAAAGCCTACAGTATTGCAGCTCTTGGTGAGAGTGCCTGGTGTCATCAGTCATTCTGATCTTGGCCAGTCAGACAGGGAACGTGGAGTCTTGGTCTAGTTTGCAGGTATTTGATTATTAATGAGGCTGAGAGTCTTTTCATTTGTCTGTAGGCTTTTCGTGTTTCCCCTCTGGTGATTTCCCTGCCCATGGCCATTGCCCGATTTCTTGGTCGGGTGGCTTATCTTTTTCCAAGATGGTGGCTTAGCTAGCCTGTGATGATGTGTGCGCAGGAAATGACTGACTCCAGCCAGAAATATGTGCAGATGAAAGTGAAGAGCTTGTGCAGACACTTTTGCAGGAATTTGGGGCTTTGTTGGTGTGTCCCGCCCCTGCGGAAGGTTGATGCGTATCAGTAATGGTGAAGATCTCATGTTCCTGTTTTTGCTTCCTTTTCAGAGAAAACTGGGAAGATCTTGACGGAGTTCCTCCATTTCTACGAAGACCAGTATGGCGTTGCTCTCTTCAACAGCATGCGCCATGAGATTGAGGCCACTGGCATGCCGCAGGCCCAGCTCCTCTGGCGCAAGGTGAGCGACCCTGGTCCGGGTGCAGGGTGGGCCCGCCACTACTTGCCACGTGCCCTTGGACCACCTACTTGAGTTTCCCTTTGTTGCTCAGCCCTTTCATCATTGTGGGTAACTCTCCCCCAGCTCAACCCCTTGGTCATCAGAGCTGGGGCTCTGGCGTCTAACAGCTGTGGGTTCAAGCCCAGTTCCTCCTTTTACAGGCTGTGTGCCTGTGAGGAAATTATCTCACCTCACAGAGCCTCCGTTTACTCATCTGTCAAATGCCAATGAGGATGCCTTCTTCACAGGAGGTTAAGAGGATGAAAGACTTGAGAGCAGGGATGGTGCTCAGTGAGTGTGGGCTGTTGCTGTCATCATTATCCTGTTATTATAGTACAAGGATGCGTCACTTAACATCCATGATGTGATCTGTGAGATAGGACTTAATGTGATTTGGACATTGTCTGAATATCAAGTTATATATGGGCAGTCCTTGTATAATCTTAGTTAAATCCTCATAAAGCCTATTGTATCAGAACCTTATGGGAGCCCACCAGACAAAACCTGAGAGCTGTATCCATTGGACACAGGAGGCTGGACTTGCTAGATGTGTGGCTGGGCTGGGCAGGGACTGTACTGGCAGCCCAGCATGTATGGGCTCAGGGCAGGTGCACTTGGGGGTCACAGAGAGGTGGCTCTGGGGACAAAATGTGCAGGTGCCAGGAGCGCAGCTAATGGTGGTGGCCCTGCCTGCTGCTACCCTGTTGGTGCGGTCACTTCCTCATGTGCAGCTACCCCCTGGAGCTTGGCGCCGTGGCAGATGCTGCCCTGCACCAGGAGTGAAAGACTGCTTGGCTGCTGGGAGGGTGAATGAAGCCAGGAGGAGGGGAAGGAGGAGGCACTGTTGGGATTGAGATGTGCCCTGGAGCCCTGCTGCTCATACGCTCGGGGCGGGGGTGTGTGCGCGAGGTTTGGAGTCTTTAAAACCATTAGGGAAAAATAATAAACAAAAGGAGAGGAGAAAGAAAGAAAGGGAAATAAAAAAAGCACTTTGTGGGACCATGGATGTAGATACAGTGGGATGTTGCCTGAGTGGACGTTAAGTGACACATACCTGTGGTAGTATGTTTGCCGTGTAGATATCTGTCCAGTGAAGTACAGAGCACCGCCTGGCTGCAGCGTGGGGGTGAGCATGGACCCTGGAGTGGGGCTGGGGGGCAGGGTTGGTCCAGAGGAGGTGAGGATGTGTCAGCAGCACAGGTGCGCTCTGAGCACCCGGCTAGAATCTGTGATCCTGGGTCTGAGGACATGAAAGGCCAGCCCTTCCTTCCTGGGTGTGGCACCTGGTCCTGTCCTTTGTCAGCCCCACGGGAGTCCTGTTTGAGGCCACCACATGTCCTGGAGCTGGGCCATTCTTTTTCAGTGAGCTTTATCCTCTGTCCTCTGGGTGGCCAGGCAGGTGACAGAAGGGTTATGAGGAAGAAAGGTGTGTCAGCCCTGACTACTCGGCAGGTGCCGTGGCCCTGAAGTGGCCGAGTGGCCCCTATGCAAAGTACCCACCACTTCCCTCTGACGTGTCAAGCCGATCCCTCTGGAAGTGGGTCCAAACCAGGTCGTGTCGATGGCCCTGGTGCTGGTGCTTGGAGTCAATAGTGTCCGAATCTCCATGATTAGAGGGCTGCCACACTTCCCACCCAGTCCTGTTGGGGTCCTCCTGGCTGCCTGGGTCCGCCTGTGCTCAGGCTTCAAGGTGCTAGAAGCCGCTGAAGACGGATGGAGGTTGGACCCACACTGTCGGCTCCTAAGTGCCTCCCTCTGCCGGACATGATGTTTGCCCTCAGGGATCCTGTTGTCTGATGGGAAACTGAGGTGGACCTAGTTTCAGATCCTCTTAGTTGGTGGCTTGATTCGCCCTCCAAGCCTCAATCTCTTCACCTGACAGATGGGACCTCCTTCATAGGGCTGTGAATGTTTGTTGAGAGAATAAATGATAGTAAGTGGGGAGCAGATCTGCAAGGTAGCTTGAGTCCTGAATTGCTGGATAACCTCAGAGAAATGACTTCATCTGTCTGAGCCTCAGTTGCTCCATTTGTAAAAAGACTTTCAGAGAAGAGAAAAGTCATCATGGACCAGAGTTGTCAGAACAGCTTTGTGAAGGGGGTGGGGATTTGATAGTGTTCCAAAAGCAAGATAGGATTAGGGGAAGGGCTCCCAGGAAGGCAGGGCTTCAAATCACTTCTTCCAGGTTCAGTCATGGCAATGGAGTGAAAGCAGAATGGACTTGAATTTGTAAAAAGTGGGTGAACCAGAATGATAACCACAACAGTCAGTGCCCTGCTAGAAACGTAATCTTCCTCTTAGAAAACAAGGGCAGTGTGAGCGTTGCATAGCAACCAACTCTCTTGATAGGTACAGTCAGAAACAACAGTGCCTGGCCCAAAGATGACAGTTGATCGTGCTGCTTTGAATGTGTGCCACTCTCCACAGTCTTGCGTCAGGCTCCTGAAAGGGCTCACCGTGCCTCTTCCGAGGCTCCCATTCCAAGGCTCCCGCCCGTAATTCATCATTCTGCTTCACCCACATTTCAGAGTTTTGAGTTTTCTTCAGTTTTGCTTCAGCGGCCATGACTGAACTGGTTCAAAGGCTGCAAAAAGGAGAAGGTGTGAGCAGGGACGCTGGAGTTGGGGACAAGGGAGACAGCAGAGCCGAAAGAAGCAGCTGTGGAGGCTCCCGACTGGGAAGGTGGGGGTTCATTTCACTCCCCCACCCCCTGCAAATACTGAGTGACTGAAAATATGCCCCATTTACCCTCAGACCAAAGGGGCGGGAATAAAATCAGCTTCCTTCTGAGTCAGCCAGCATTGGACCTGGCTTTGAGTATTCGTTACACACTGGCGTCTTCCCAGCTGGAGGATCAGTAGTTGTTAGGTCAGGAGAGAGGGCTGCTCATAAGGCTGGAATGAACCCCAGGATCTTTCTGGAGGAAAATCTTTGCTGATGAGACTGAGGAATTACCCCAAAGAGAGAGACAAGCAGACCCATGGCCAAGGACACACACGTTGAATGTGTTACACTGCCCTTACTGACACCACTTAGGGAGACTGACATTCAACAGCTATCTATGCAATTAAATATGAGCTAGAAGGAGATGACAGGATGTACACAGATATGCGTGGGTTAGGGAGGACCTGACTTTGTCCCCGTGGCCCAGGAGGGCTTCCTGGAAGAAGAGCAGTCTAGATTGGGGACCTACCAGAAGCATTTGCTGGGAGAAGAAGATATCTGAGTAAGGAACAGGATGTGAAAAGGCCTAGAGCTGAGCGTTTGGGTGGCTGCCTGGGATGCTAGAGGCAGGACTAGAATCAGATTCCAGGTTCCTCATCTCGGGCCCTTTCTGGTGGGACACCCCCACCTCCACCCCAGCTGTTTTGGGGAGGAAGGGAGCTCACGGCTGTATGCCCAAGCCTCAGGAGCATCACATACACCTTTGATTTTGGACCCAGAAAAGGCTGTCTGTTCCCCTGGTGTCATGGCAACCACCCAACCCAGTAATGGCTGAGGGGACCCCAGAGGTGCCAGGGTTGTGGTCATCTGGCAGGTACACCCCTGTGTGGTAGGAAAGGAGGTCTGGGGCCCCACCCAGGTGAGCCACTTGGAGTGGGAGGACCAGAACTACACTCCTGCATGCACAGGAATGCCACAGGCAGCCCAGGTCCTGATAACCCAATACAGAAGTGGGAAGAGGTTGACGGCATTAGGTATACCTTTAGTGCTCAGTAGGGATACATAATCATTGCAGAAAAGGAGCGAGTAACGCCGAAGCAAGACAAGTACAAGAGAATCCCCCCAGTCCCTGAGAAGTGGGGTGCTCGGGCCCCGATTTCCCCTCGGTTTAGGCCTACATCTGGAAAGAGTAACACCCCGGCAACAGTGTTTGAGTTTTCTTCAGTTTTGCTTCAGCAGCCGTGACTGAACTGGTTCAAAGGCTGCAAAAAGGAGAAGGTGTGAGCAGGGACACGAGTTGGAGACAAGGGAGACGGCAGAGCCGAAAGAAGCAGCTGTGGAGGCTCCCGACTGGGAAGGTTGGGTTCATTTCACTCTGCAGCTGCGGTTTGTTCTCTGCTCCGTTCACCTCGCTCACCCCTCTCAGGGAGGTGCAGTGCTAGTGTCCGATTTCAGATGTGGAAACTGAGGCCCAGAGAGGTGGAATCGCTGGTCCAGGCTCCCATAGTGTGTGTGGGGAGCTGGGACTGTCGCCACAGTTGTCTGACCCCAGGGCCTTTGCTCTGCCCACTGCCCTGCCCACTAGATTCCCACTGCGGCCTCTGCAGTTTCTAAGCTCTTCTGCTTGGGCTGCCAGGCTCCACGTCATTTCCTGCAAGCCTTCCAGTCGAAACATAACTCTGCCATTTGAAAGTCTTAAAAATAAAACCCAAAACCTGCGTCCCGTTGCCCATGAGGAGCTGCCCAAGGATGTGGGGCGGACTTGGTTGGGGGGTACTGGGCTTGATGCCCGGGCAGTGAATCCAGGTCTGCATAGCCTGCTCTGGGGCAGGCGTGGTTCGCGTCCCTGCGCCTGAGCTGGGAGCAGCCTGGGGAAGGGGGTTCTTACCAGGATGCTGGAAGAGTTCTGTTCTTTCTAGAAAAGGGGGGAGGGGGGACTCAGGGCTGGATTTTGCATAGGCCGCCAGTCTAAATATAGACCCCTGCACAGCAGCTTGGTGACTTGGGCAAAGCTGGCTTCTGTGTGCGTGTGCGTGTGCGTGTGTGGAGGTGGAGGTGGAGGTGGGGGCAACACTATTTTTTTTCCTGTAAATATTTTTATCCCTGGTAGGAAGCAGTCCTGGGGTCCTATTGTTTGAGTACAATGGGCTCTCTCTTCTTCCAAGAGTGTTTTGTCATTTCCCCTTCAAGGGTAGTAGGGAGGGAGGGGGTGAGGGTGGGGGTGAGGGCCTGTGAAAGGCACTGAGTGTCTGTGGTGTGACTTGAGGGGGTCTTGCAGAGGCGTCTCTCACACCTGATTCCAGTTGCTGGGGAGACCCAGAAGCAGGGCAAAGAAGCCAGGCAGATTTAGGCACAATTAAAATAGTTTCTCCCATTATTATGGGTGATAAAATGCTTCTTTTCCATAAAAAACACTGTGTTTATTGTACAACAATGAGAATCTACTGAGAAGCAGAGAGAAGCATTAGATTCTCCCACCGAGGAGCAAGCCTGTGCCCATTGTGGCATCTGTGACTCCCTTCCAGACGCTTCCCTGTCATTGTTCTCTCAGGAAGTGTTTCGTGGGACGGACACTTCTAGTGCTGGCTCTAAGTCCTCCTCTCCGATAAGTGATCCACAGAGCTGGGATGCCGGACACGGCATAGCAGTGGGTGTCGCAGCTCCCACATATTGTGTCAGGTGCCTGGGATCTTTACACACACTGCCTCACGCAGTCCTCACAGTGCCTTGACCAAGTCAGTGCTGTCACTGTCCCCGTTAGAGCTGGGAAATGAGACTTACAGAGGGGATCACAGGCCAGAGTCACCCAGGAGGCAGACGTAGGGTTTTGCAGGAAGGTCTGGATCTTTCTGGAGCCCACGCTCATTACCAGGACGCCAGTCAAACGTCAGACACCCCCAGACCGAAGCCCTCTCTGCCATCACCCAGATAAGGCTGCCTATCTTGTTTAAGCTTTCTGAGGCCCAGAGCTGGAGAGACACGTGCCATGGTCATGCAATGGGGCAGGGAGAGCAGGTGCTGGCTCTTGGCACTGCCGGCTCTGTGTCTTCTTTGGTCGGAATGACTGCCCTGGGTCCACGCTGCAGTGGAGGGTTTACAGTCCATTTCAGACATGTTCAGAGAGAGCTCCTTAGACCCATCCTGACTCTCTGTGGAGCTTTGCCTGACTATGGCCAGGACAGAGTGGAAGTCCCTGGTCCTGGCTGGGTCCTGTATCGCTGTGCCTGACCTGGGTTCAAGTCCTGCCATCACCACTGCCCCGCCTGGACCCTAGGCAAGCCCTTCACTGCCTGGCCTCACTTTACTCATTTGCTAAAGGGCATACAGCCTGGCCACAGAGGCCTTAATGAGGACTTGAGATCTGAATGAAGAGTGCCCCCCAGTAGGGGCCTGGCAGGGGTGAGCAAGCAGGTGCTGCTGGCTGCGTAGTCACTTTCTTGGGGACTCCACCCCCGCTTCCCACCCGCCCCAGGCAGTAGGAGATCCTAGGCCCCACTCTCCACCTTTCCTCCCCAGGTGCCTCTGGATGAGCGAATCATCTTCTCTGGGAACCTCTTCCAGTACCAGGAGGACAACAAGAAGTGGAGGAACCGCTTTAGCCTCGTGCCCCACAACTATGGCCTGGTGCTCTACGAGAACAAAGTGGTGAGAACCGGCTAGGCGAGGACAGAGCCCCTGAACCACTGCACACCCCCACCTCTAAACCACTGTGTGCTCCGCCCCAAACCACTGCAGCCTCTTACTCTTAAATTGGAAGTATCTGCCTTTGTTTGTCATCAGGGCCAAAGCAGAACTCCCTACCTGCTTGCTCTGCTGGGGTTCCTCCTCGAATTACATTCTACCTGTCCAGGCTCCCTGAGGTCATCACCTTTGACGCTGTCCTATCCATCTTCAGTCACTCTCAAGTCCCTGCAGATCCCTCCTCTCCACCACCCTGAGCCCTGCCCTCCTCCTACCTCCACCTCCTTCCTGGATGACCTGCTTCTGGCCCCTCCCATCCTTGCTCTTCGTAGGTAGTAGTCGGTGTGAACCATTGAAGATACATGAGTCTGGTCATTCCCTGCCCCAGTTTACTCCTGTGATGGTTGCTCTCTTGCCTTGCTCTCTGGGCTGTGGTCCCAGCTTTTTCCTCCATGACCCCTCCTTGTGAGCCCCTGCCCTGCTGTGGGTAGATTAACGTCTGAGAAGAGTGTGGGGCTGTTTCTTACCTTTACTTTGGGCTCTTTGAGAAAGAAACCCCACCTGGTTGAGCCACACGCAGAAGTTCTTCTCTTATCTAATGTTTCTCTAGAGCAGCCAGAGTGGAATTCCCTCTGTTTCAAGGCAAACCAATGTGAGAACAATGCTAACAAAGTCAGGAGCAACCTTATGCCCCAGGGCTGTGGCTCACAAATGAGAGTACACATCAGAATCACCTGAAAGGCTTGTTCAAAAACACATCACTGGGTCTGACTCCAAAATTTCTGATTAAGATCTGGGGTAGGACCAAGAGTTTGCACATCTCAGAAGTTCCGGGGTGATGTTGATGCTGCTGATCTGGGAACCTCACTTTAAAAATCATTGCCCTAAAGGTTTTGAGTTACTCTCAAGAGATGTGTTGAATAAGTGACACCTAGTGACAGGGTACAGCATTGCAGCCCTGCTGTATGAGGAATTGCTTTTTCCCCACTGGTGTAAGAAAGCAGGATCTAGATCTAGTTCCCATTCTTCTCCAAAGGGGACTCCTGTGATACTCAGAACTAAGAAGTTGGTGGGAAATTCAGGATAATTATCAAAGAGTCTGGGCTCTGGAGGTCGGTAGACTTCGTTCATGTCCTAAATCTGTTACTTATCAGCTGTGTGAACCTGTGACTAATAGTTCCCACCTCTCTGAGTGAGAGAAGTCTGTGAAATGAAGTATGCAATGCCCTTAGCACAGTGCCTGATAGGTACCACACTCATCTGGTGGTGGTGGTTGTTATGTGCCGTCAAGTCAGCCCGACTCAATAGCGACCCCTCCTTGGGCTTCCGAGGCAGTATCACTACAGAACTAGATTGCCCATCCTTCCTTCTGAGGAGTGGCTGGTGGGTTTGAACCGCCAGCCTAGTGGTAGCTACTAGTAATTTAGTTAATAATAGCAGTAATGATGATAACAACAATAACTCCAGCAACACTTACTGAGTCCTTGCTGTGTGTCAGGCCCTCGGCCAAATGTTTATGTGGAGCTTCTCACTCAGTCCTGACACCTGTGAGGTTGGCACTGTTATTACCCTAGTTTTATAGATGAGGAAACAGGCATAGGAGGTTCAGGACCTTTAATTTCAGCATCACCTTTATTGTACCTAGTGGAGTCAGGATTTGACCTAAGCCCAGACCCTGGCTTTAGGTCACTATACCATGCTGTCTCTAGTCATGATGGCAGTCAAATTTCTTCTCTCCTTGTCCCTCTCTTCCTCCCGCTCCGCATCCTCCTCCTTTCCCTTTTCCTCTCTGCCCTCGTCATACAAGCAACACTGAGTGGGACTGTTTGGGAATGGGATTTGGGCTTGGCCACATTCTTCCTCTCAGAGACGCTCTCTCTTGCCCCCTCCTCAGGCCTATGAGCGGCAGGCCCCACCTCGAGCTATCATCAACAGTGCAGGCTACAAAATCCTCACCTCAGTGGACCAGTACCTAGAGCTTGTTGGCAACTCTTTACCAGGTAAAGGACCATGCATCCCAGGCTGAGATGCCCTGTGAAGGCCCTAGAAGTTGGCCAGAGGAAGAGGCAGCCCTGAGCTTGGAGCTCCAGGTCTTGTGTTTTCAGAAAGACCAGCTGGGCCTACAGTTGTCACCAGGCACCAAGCAGAACTTCAGAGGGGGGAGGGTTTGTGAGGCAGGGGTTTGCCCGAGGCCACTCAGTGAGTAGGGGCTGGACCAGTGTGGACCCTGAGTCCTGCAGCTTCCCAAGGTGTAGCTATGGAACTGGGGTCTTGCTCTCTGCCCTACCCACTGTTCTTGAAGGATTTCCAGAAGTCAGTCCAGGTGACTTTATAAACTGTGAGGTATAAAGGTAAGCTTTATAAACTGTGAAGTCAACACTGCACTTGTGAGGAGTTACTTTAGATGTTCTGTTTCTACTGCCTTGTCCGAGACTCCCAGCAGCCTAATTGGAATAGCACCTGCCTCACCTGGGGGCAGACTACATGCCTAGCTTGGGATTGGGAGTAAAACACCCGTGCTGCTGGTGGTGGTGGAGGAGGATCTGGCTAGACTCTGACATTCCTGGATTCCAGTCCCGACTCTGGGTTGTCTGTGCCATGTCTTCTTGGGCAAGTTGCTTCCTCTCTCTGACTTTCAGTTTTTTCAGCATCTACACAACGCAGACATTCAGATTATTGACCTCTCTGGGTGTTGTGCAGATCCCGTGAGGGGGTATGTACACTGTGCCCACCAGAGGCCCATGCAGAGCCAGGCACAAAGAACTTTTATTGACATATTATTAACACAACAGTGGTGGCATTGCAGCATAAGACCAGTTATCTTGCTGAAACCATGCCAAGAAAATAAAGAAAAAAAAAATCCCTTTTTGTTTATTTTATACCCCTGCTCTCCATTCCTCCCTCCCCACTTGGAGATTTAAACCACACCTTGGCCTCCACAGCTGCAGTTTGGAGGGGATCCCAGGAAGGTAATGCTTGGCCTTTGAACTTCTGAGAGCTCTGACCCTGTGTGCCTTGCACATAGAGTTTAGAACATTACCCAAGAGGGAGGTGGATGCTACAGTATTACTGGCTCTAAGATAAAGGTCTAAATGGAAGCCGTGGTATTCTGAGGTTCCTTTAGCCAAGTTGTGGAGAATACACCAAGGAGGATGCCATCTCCCCACTGACCTGCTGATGACCTGGGACAGACCAACCTCTATGACCCTGAGCCTGTTCTTCAGAGCAGGGCTGAGGGATCAGCTGCCTGCTGTCCTCTAGCTGAGGGAAATCCCAGTGGGCAGCTACTCAGTGGGTACTGTCTTCACAGGGATCACGTCAAAGTCGGGTACCACTCCCATCCTCAAATGCCCCACACAGTTCCCTCTCATCCTCTGGCATCCCTCTGCACGTCACTACTACTTCTGCATGATGACGGAGGCCGAGCAGGACAAGTGGCAAGCTGCTTTGCAGGACTGCATCCGGCACTGCAACAATGGTGAGCAGCCTTCAGGCACTGGAAGCAGCAGGGGCATTTATCTGGGGTAACGTGTGTAAAGGGAACTCTGGTGGCACTGTGGTTGAAGCGTTGGGCTACTAACCAGAAGGTCAGTGGTTTGAACCCACCAGCTGCTCCACGAGAGAACAATGAGGCAGATTGCTTTTGCAAAAGACATACAGCCTTGGAAACCCCAATGGGGCAGTTCTACTCTGTCTTACGTTGTTGTTATGTGCCATCAAGTAGAGTCTCTCCTTGGGTTTCCGAGGCAGTATCACTACGGGAGTAGATTGCCCCATCTTCCTTCCAAGGAGTGGCTGGTGGGTTTGAACTGCCAGCCTTCTGGTTAGCAGTCAAGTGCCTTAGGCACTAGGCTACCAGAGCTCCTACTCTGTCCTATAGGGTGGGTATGAGAATAGACTTGGTAGCTGTGGGTTGTTTGTTTTTTTTGAATGTATGTAATGGGGACACCCAGTGGCCAAAGGTGGCATAACAACCCTGCTCTATGAACTTGTAATTTTTCTTCTAAGAAACCTTTATGATACTATCCTTAACCTTTTTCCTCCATGAAAATGTAACTTTCTGCTGCTCAGAAAAAACTTGGGGAAATTGTTCACAGAACAGTCCTTATGTTTGAATCCTAATTCTGCCACTTTCTAGCAACATGACCTTAACAAAACCCAATGTTGTTAAGTGGATTCCAACTCATAGCGACTCTATAGAATAGAGTTGAACTGCCCCATTGGGTTTCCAAGTCTGAAGTCTTTGCAGAGGCAGACTGCCACATCTTTTTCTTCCTTGGAGAGGCTGGTGGGTTCAAACCACCATCCTTTTGGTGGCGCAGCTGAGTGTCTAATCACTGTGCCACCAGGGCTCCTTAACATGACCTTCAGAGACTGATGGATTTCTTGGAACCTCTGTAAAATGGAGATGATAATCCCTCCTGTGTCTTAAGGGGTTTATGAGGATTCACAGTGGGAGTCCACTCAGTAAAGACTGGCCATTATATTCTTTCTTTACTACCAACCTGCGAGGAGCTTTAGTTTTTTCCTCAGGGCCTCATTGTTCTCCTTTGTCAAGTTATGAGGTCTCTCCGGCTCATTCATTCATTCAGGGGACACTTTCAGCATCTGCTCTAAACCAGGCCTTGGTCTGGGCACGGAGGATGCAGCGAGGCAGCAGACATGGTCCCTGCCTTCGTGCCGCTGGCAGTCTTGGGGGGACACAGACGTTAAACAGATGAAGACGCTGGGGAGTCACAGATGGGGTTCGTGCTGGGCAGGGGCTGCCCAGGGAGCTTGGAGGGCATGTGTGCTTTAGGGAGGGCTTGATCATTGCAGGCTCCCTGGAGACGGTCAGGGCTCAGCTGAGATCTGAGGGCTGCATAGTCGGGGAACAGGAGAAGAGTGTTTCAGCCTCCTCAGGTGGTAGGAAGGATGGAGGGAGTCCCTGAGGCAGAAATTGTGGAGGATGAACTGCAGGAGGCCCTGAAACGGGGAGCGGGTGACCTGAGATTGGGCTGAAGGGGGACAGGGGTCAGGTTAGGTAGGGCTCTAAGGAGTTTTATCAAAGAAAGCTTACAGTTGTCCCCCCAGATGAACGTAGTGGGGAGGCCCTGAAGCGGGGAGCGGGTGACCTGAGATGGGGCTGAAGGGGGACTGGGGTCAGGTTAGATAGGGCTCTAAGGAGTTTTATCAAAGAAAGCTTACAGTTGTCCCCCCAGATGAATGTAGCGGTCCTCCCCCTGTTCTGGATGCTGAACTTCCTGCCCGGTGACTTGGCCTCAGGGTCTCTGAGAGGGAGGCAGCTGCCCCTGCCCCCTGCCCTGTCCTCTGTTCTGCCCCACCTTGGACACCAGCTTGGTCTGATTACTCCAGGTGGTGAATGCTTGAGCACCAACACTTGGAGGCCGGGCTGGTTGTTGGCTCTGTTCACCCCGCCTGTCCTGCTTAACTCCCCAAAGCTGCCTCTGCTTTGTCTGGAATCTGCCAGGCAGGAGGAACCAGGTCTTCACCTGGGCTGGGCCCTGCCTGCCCACAAAGGACCTCTTGTTCCCAAGTTCCCGGGGGCTGTGGGACGGTGCCTGGGTGGAGTCAGTCAGGGCCCTGGCAGCCTGGCCGGGGGCACCCTCCCTACCCTGGCCCAGCTCTGCCCTCTCCAGGTTCAAGTCCAGCTGGCAATGGCTAACCTGGTTGGGTGACCTCAGGCCAGGTGGAGAGGCAAGGTAGGGGCGAATGGGGACAGACAGGTGAAGAGCCCCCCTTCAGTCTCCCATGTGTAGAATGGGGCAGATGATAAGCTCAACTTCCCAGGGTTATTGGGAAGGGTAACTGAGTGGTTCAGGTAGAGCCCTTGGCCCTGGGCCTGGCATGTAGGCTGGGCTCTGCTGGGAGGCTGTAGGAAGCCTCTTGGGTGTGGGCATGATGGGTGGGAGCGGTGGGGAGAGCTGCCAGGCCTGGGGTGTGGGGGGTGAAGGGACGTCCTGAGACAGGAGGTGTTCCAGCTGAGGGGTGGCACCCTCACCCCGTGGTGGGCTGACAAGGCTGGTTTTAGACGTGGGCCTTTTCCCCACCCTGAGGACTGTGGGAAAGTTATCTGCTTCCTCTGGCCTCCAAGGCTGGGGCTGGAATTTGTGGAGCCTGGAATTGCTTACTCTGGGGGCTGCCAGGAAGTACGGGGTAGGGGGGTGGAGGGAAGCCAAGCTGGGTGGACGCCAGCTTGACCCAGGGCCAGTCACATCCTGCATTCCTGGAGCAGTGGGGGAGTGGCGAGAGGCAGCTGGGCACTCACTGTCGCTGCTGCACCGAGTCCTCCGTGTGGACCTGGGGTGCGAGGTCATGGCCTCCTCCTGGCTGACCCACCTCTGCTGCTGGCCGGGACTGAGGAACATGGTTTTCCTGGATCAGCCTGACCCCCTTAGGACTGTAAAGGCAGAATGTCTCGGAGTCTGGCTGGAGTCACTGGTCCTGGATCTGGCCCTGGTGCTGCCATTCCTTAGCTGTGTGCCCTTGAGCCAGTCTCTTGGCCTCTCTGAGCCTCAGTTTCCTTATTAGGAAAAGTGGGGCTAAGAATAGCTCCTCCCTCACGGGCTGTGCTGAGAGCTATTAAATGAGCAGATCCCCCTGAAGTGCTCAGGCCAGGGCTGAAGAGCTCAGAGGAGTTGTTCTCAACTCTCCTTAACCCAGCAGTTCAGCGTGTACCATAGAGAGGGTTTCAAGGGACATAGAAGCTTGGGGACCAGCCCAAGGCTGTGTGTCTAGCTGTTCGGAGCCAGGGCTGGGACACCAGCAGCCTCTTGCTTGCTCTGCCCAGGCGTGGCTGCCGCTGGGCTGCCCTCTGCCTCACCTTCCTGCCACCTGGAAAGAGGCTCCTGCCTTGCACACCTGGCTTGTTGCTTGCAGAGTGGAAATCCCTGATGTGCGACAGGCTGAGCGTAAACGCACGGTCCGTATCTTCTGGACACATGCTGGTCTCGGGGAGCCATGCCCCTCCTGAGAGCCTGGGCCATGTTCGCCCACATGCTGTCTAGCTGGAGCATCTCTGCTCTGTTTCTGTCACTCTTGCCTAACCTCAGGTCCCTGGGATGGAGGGGTTAGACCCCCATTGTGGGCCCAGGGAGCCAGCCAGGGCAGGGCAGGGGGCTGGGCCTCGATTTCCCCACTGCTAAGCTCCCTTCTAGTTCTGGCAGGCGGTGGTTGCCGTGCTCAGTCTGTGGGGTGAGGGAGGGGCTCCCCATACCACAGAGGGGCTTTTTCTCTGTGGGGGTGACTCAGCCCGTAGTCACCACAGTGCGAGTTGGGGTTTCTGACGCACAGGCTGCTGTTTCCTCTTCCCTCAGCCTCAGGACGGGGTGGTCGGAGGCACACAGTCAGGCTGACCGTCTGCTGCCTGGCTTGGTGGTGCTTAACCACGTTCTTCCCCAAGTGGATTTTGCAACTTCCCGCAGCCTGCCTCTCCAGCCTCAAGTCTGGAGGTTGACGCCTTGTTTGTTGACCCACCTTGACACTGCGGGGGCCGGGGGTGGGGCAGGGGCGGTGGGAGAGGGGGGTACAGAATCATCTGGGCCACTGACACTACCACCACTAACAAAAATCTGTGCCGGGCCTTGTCTGGGCACTTGGTGTTAAGGCCGAGGCTGCGCCTGCCACTGCCTGCCAGGGGAGGCAGCATGAAGCAGTTCATCACTCCAGTTACTAATAAAAAGCCGGAGGCTGTGCAGGGCTGGGAACCTGCACTGGGGCCCTGACGCTGGACTTTGTAGTTTACAGCCCTGGCTCCACACTGTGACCCATGGAGCCTCGCAGTGAATGTGTGAGGGCAAATGGACTCAGTGGAACCCATGATCTAGAACAGGGCTCAGCAAACTATGGTCCTCAGGCCAAATTTGGCTCACCATCTATTTACATAAATTAAGTTTCATTGGAACTCAGTCACGCCCACTTGTTAACATAGTGTCTGTTGGGCAATCCTACTTCCCTAGTGATAGTGCCTCGGAAACCCAAGGAGGGATCGCTATGAGTCAGGCCGACTTGACGGCAAATAACAACAACAACAACTTTCAAGGAGCTCTGGTGGTATAGTGCCTAAGGCATTTATTTGACTACTAACCAGAAGGTTGGCGGTTCAAACCCACCAGCCACTCCACAGAAGACTGGGCAATCAATCTACTTTTGTAAAGATCTACCGCCTCAGAAACCCGAAGGGGGTCGCTATGAGTCAGGATCGACTCGATGGCAGTGAGTTTGGTTTTTTGGTTCGGTGGCTACTATTGTGTTATAGCCATAATGGCAGCACTGAGAGGTTGTTGTCAGAGGTGTCTGGCCTGCAGAGCCAGAAAAAAAATTTACTATCTGACCGTTTATGGGCTCATTGGAGGTGGTGGGGTGCTTTACTATCACTGTAACTCTGACCGCTATAGTTAGTGCAAGGGTGGCCGGAGTTACAGCCACCTCTCTGGGCGTGCATGCATGTGTAGACGTGTGTGTGCACACAAGTGTGCACGCATGTGTGCATGCATGAGGTTTGGTTAGTCAGTGGGTCTTGGTGGTGGTCCCTGGGCCGTTGTGCCAGCTCTCCCTCTCCTTGACAGGGATCCCCGAGGACTCCAAGGTGGAGGGCCCTGCATTCACGGATGCCATCCGCATGTACCGCCAATCGAAGGAGCTGTACGGCACCTGGGAGATGCTGTGTGGGAACGAGGTGCAGGTGAGGCCAGAGTGGGGGCAGCTGCAGAAGGCGCGTTGCTTGAGCTCAGGGCCCAGAGGCAGGGCTGGGCACAAAGATGGGCTGTGGGGAGCTGTAGGTGTGGCAGGAGACAGCAAATCAGATCTGGACAGGCTGGGACCCAGGTGGGCCATCCAGGTGGAGGTGTTGTTATTGTGTTCAATCATTTACTATGCACCTTCCCTGGGCCTGGTGCTGGTGCAGCTGTGAATGAGATGGGCACGGCCCTGGATCTCAGAGAGGGAGCTCTGTGTCTGTAGGAGAAATACATTCAGCAAACACACACAATTCCACTTGCAGGCAGAAGGGGTGGGGGAGAGGTGCAGTATTAGACAGGGAGGCAGCATGTGCAGAGTTCCTGGGGTGGGACCCCTGAACCTGAGGATCCTGAAGGACATCCAAGCAGACCAGTCTGGGTCCTGTGGGAATGGGCTCAGGAGAAGGAGGGCGAGGGGCCAAGTGCAGAGGAGTTGGGGAAGCCATGGGGGCTCGAGTGGCTGAGCAGAGAAGAACACGTCACCTGGACGTGCTCCAACCCCTGCGCTGGCTTGTGTCTCTTGGTCCTAGATCCTGAGCAACCTGGTGATGGAGGAGCTGGGCCCTGAACTGAAGGCCGAACTCGCCCCACGGCTGAAGGGGAAACCCCAGGAGCGACAGAGACAGTGGATCCAGGTGGGCGGGCCTGGGATCTGGGGGAGGAGACGGGGCCTGCCGCTGGCCCCGTGCCCTCAGCCCTGGTGCTGATGCTGTGGCTCTGCCCACAGATCTCGGATGCCGTGTACCGCATGGTGTACGAGCAGGCCAAGGCACGCTTTGAGGCGGTGCTGGCCAAGCTGCAGCTGGCCCGGCCGGCCATGGAGGCGGTCATCCGCACTGACATGGACCAGATTATCACCTCCAAGGAGCATCTGGCCAACAAGATCCGAGGTAGGCAGGCCACTTGCCACGTCTGGGGTTATTGCCTGGGCCCTCCAGAGGTCAGGGTCAAACTAATTTCTCTCTCTCGAAGACCTATAAAAACCAGTTGCCATCAAGACAGTTCTGACCCCTGTGTGTCATAGTAGAACTGGGCTCCACAGGGTTTTCAGGGGCTGATTGTGGAAGTGATCACCCGGCCTTTCTTCTGAGGTGTCTCTGGTGGACTCGAACCTTCAACCTTTTAGATAGCAGCTGAGTGTCTTAACAGTTGGCACCACCCAGGGACTCCATGGAGACCTATACTAGGTGGAATTCTTTTTTCTTTTTTTGCTTTCATAGTACTTCATACTGTGTGAGTAGTCTATTCACTCGTGTGATCAGGAGGAGTTTGTGAGAGAGAGGTAGAGAAATGGTGCTTGAAATTGTGAATATTAGATAGAATTTTGACAAGTCATAATTTGACAGCAAGAAGATATTCAGGGTAGAGGGACTAATGAGAACAAACTAATGGTGGGGAAGTTATTATTATTTTTTTTTTGCAGTGTCTCCTCTCCTCCCATCCCACCCCTGGTAACCAACAAAGAAAGTTTCCTTCCATATATAAACCTTTCCTTGGCTTTTTACAATAATGAACTAATGCAATATTTGTTCTCTGTGATTGACAGATTTCACTCAACATAATGCCCTGCAAGTTCATCCATGTTAAGTGGTGTTTTGCAGAGTCTACATTATTCTTTAGGGTTGCATAGTATTCCATTGTATGTATGTACCATAATTTGGTTATCCATTCTTTTGATGGGCATGTAGGTTGTTTCCATCTTTTGGCTATTGTAAATAGTGCTGCGATGAACATGGGTGTGCATATATCTGTTCTTGTCCTGGTTCTCACTTCTTTAGGATATATACCTAGTAAAGAGATTGTTGGGTCAAATGGTATTTCTAATTCCAATTTTTTAAGGAATTGCCATACTGCTTTCCACAGTGGTTGTGTCATTTTACAGTCCCACCAGCAGTGTATGAGAGTCCCAGTCTTTCCACATCCTTGCCAGCATTTGTTATTTTCTGTCTTGCTGAACTTTATTATTAGTGCTGGGGTGAGATGGTATCTCATTGTTGTTTTGATTTGCATCTCTCTGATGGCTAATGATTGTGAGCATTTCTTCATGTATTTGCTGGCTGCCTGAATATCCTCTTTGGTGAAGTGTCTATTCATATCTTCTGCCCATTGGATTGTTTGTTTTTTTGTTGTTGAGGTGTTGGAGTTTTCTATAAATTCTAGAGATAAGTCCCTTGTCAGATATGTCATTGCCAAATATTTTTTCTCAAATGTTTTCCTCTTTTGACTGTTTTGGAGAAGGCTTTGGAATCACATAAAAATTTAATGTTTAGAAGGTCCCATTCATCTAGTTTATCTTCTGCTGTTAGTGCATTTTGGGTTATGCTATTTATGCCATATATTAGGGCCCCTAAATTTGCCCCTATTTTTTCCTTGAGGAACTTTATAGTTTTAGGTTTCACGTTTAAGTTTTTGATCCATCTGGAGTTAGTTTTTGTGTATGGTGTGAGGTACAGATCTTGTTTCATTTTTCTGCAAATGGATATCCTGTTTTGCCAGCACCATTTGTTAAAGAGACCATCTCTTCCCCATTTAATGGATTTCATTAAATCCTTTGTCAAAAATCAGCTGACCATAGGTAGATGGATCTATTTCTGGGTTCTCAGTTCTGTTCCACTGGTCTGTGTGTCTGTCACCAGGTGGAATTCTTTACAATGTAAATTTCATTCACAGCAATGACCTGATTCAATGACTGTTCTTAAAAATCAAAGTCAAATGTGAGCCATCATTCCTCCAACCCCTTTGAGTTGTTCTGTGACTTATTTCTACGAACCCACTTTGTAAAACCTGGACTCTGCCAGGTTTCTGCGTGTGCAGCTCAGCGCCACTGACTGCGTTCTTTGAGTTGTGCAGTCACCCTCACCCTTCTTTTCTGAGTTGTTCTTCCCTCATTAACACAAACTCACTGTCCCCTGAGGTTCCTAGCTCATCTTGTGAGTTGCCTTTGCTGTATAGGTAGATCTTAAAAACACGTTAACAGTCGAGACAGACATTCTTCATTAGTTAAGCTAAACTTTTGTTTGCTTTTAAGAAGATTTCCGGGGATATTTTTGGTTTAAGGTTTAAAGATTATGTCAGGGCAGTAATTTCAGGGATTCATCTAGCCTCCATGGCTCCAGAAAGGCTGAATTCCCTGAGAATTTGAACTTCTGTTTTGCATTTCCCCTTTCTGCACATGCTGGATTTTGAAGACCTAAATTATTGTCATAAGGTTTAAGGTTAAGGTTTAAGACTTCTACTCTTCTTTAGCTGAACACAGGTTTTACATGTGATTGCAGCAGAGATCAGTTTAACTTGGACATGATTTACTTAAACAGGTTCAAATTTCTAGGTCACTTTATGTTCTTTCTAGGAGCTCTGGTGGCAGAGTGGTTAAAGCATTGAGCTACTAAACAAAAGGCCAGTGGTTCCAACCAACAGCTGCCCTGTGAGAGAAAGATGAGGCAGTTTGTGTCTATAAAGATCTATAAGCTTAACTGAATTCACTCCCATGGCTTCCAGCCAAACAATAAACAGGCGTATAGGGTGAACATTTACATCAGGTAGATACACTCCTTAGAGCAGTCAATCATGGGAGAACAGAAGGGCAGTGTTTGCACAGGGAGATAGCTCAGGGGGCAGGAATGCATAGGAAAGACACAGGGAAGAAGAACTGCAGGGAGGAAGTGGGAAGAGAGCTGTTACGCTGTGGGGAATTGCAGTCAGTGTCATGAAACAGTGTGGAGGAGATCCTTTATAGAAAATGAATTTGCTGTGTAAACTTCCACCCAAATCACAATTTAAAAAAGAATAATAATTTATAGCCTTGGAAACCCTATGGGGCAGTTCTCCTCTGCCCTATAGGGTTGCCAGGAGTTGGAACTGACTCCATGGCAGTGGCTTTGGGTTTTTTATGTTCCTTTCTATTCCCAATCAGATGGGGTCCTTCAGCTGTTTGTCACCCATAGCACCCTTGCAGTTTCCTGTGGATTCTCTCCTAGTCACAGTCATTCTGAGCTGGACAAGAGACTGGGAGTTGACATTTATTTTGTGGAACAACAGCATTAGTCAGGCAGAGGGGAGGCTATCACCCCCCCCCCCCCGGGAGTATACATGCCTTGACCAGAATGTCCTGGAGGTGGTCCCAGCTCACAGGGAAGCTGGCCTTTTCCACAGTTACACAGAGCCATGTCCTGCCCACCATTCCAGAATCAGACTTGGCTCAGTGTTTGCAAAACCAAGAAGCTTGTTGAATTCTCTAAAGTGTTTGGTTTTTTGTTTTTTTCAACAGAGGAGCAAGGTCTCCAAAAAATGAGTTTTCCTCTGACTCTAGCGAAGCAGAAACCCCTTTGGATGAGCTGTTTTCTTAGTTTCTTGCCATCACAGTTTCAAAAATATCAGGGTTCAGCCTCAGAGCCCAGGATTTTTACTGGATGAATTTATTTTCTTTATCAAATATTCCTCTAGAACCATTTAGCTTTCTAATGTTGTCACTAGTGGTTTTATTAAAAAAATAATGCAACATGGCAAGCCTCCAGCGTGCTTGGGTCTGGAGTGGCCCTATGCATTCCTACAGCGCTTGCAAGAACAATTTTGAAATGGTTTGAGGCCTCGCTCTACAGCATCTACAGAGCAAGGTTATAGAAATTTCAGACAATTGGATAAAAGGAAACAAATAAACAAACAGGCCTCTAGCGTCTGGCGTTGTGGGATGGCCTAGAGGTACTCTTGGGGGCTGCTCGCTACCCCGCTGGAGCCTCTGTCAACCTGGGCTCCCTCTGGGTGCAGCCTTCATCCTTCCCAAGGCGGAGGTGTGTGTCCGGAACCACGTCCAGCCCTACATCTCGTCCATCCTGGAGGCCCTGATGGTGCCCACCAGCCAGGGCTTCACTGAGGTGCGGGATGTCTTCTTCAAGGAAGTCACTGACATGAACTTGAATGTCATCAATGAGGGCGGCATAGACAAGCTGGGTGAGGTGAGGCCTAGCATCATCCTATTGACTGCCCTTGGTGGGTTTGGGACTGGTCTGACCCCATCAGGCCCACTTTTCCCTGACATTTACCTGTACACAGAGAGGGTCTGATGGAGGTCAAGGGTCGGAACCCATGAGCCAGGTGGGAAGTCCTGTTGGGCCCAGCAGCTAGAGGAAAGTAGGAATATTACCCTTGCCTTCAGTCTTTATAAACCAAGTGGGACGGTAAAGTATAAAATAATTTAACGGAGAACGGATGGGAAGGGAGGGAGGGAGAGGAGGTAAAAGGGTTCTGTACACCACGTCATGCAGCCCACAGAGGGACACAGACCATCTCTCTCACGTGCCCTCAGTCATCTCATAACCTGGGTGAATGCCTGACCACAGGCTCCACACTGCAGTTGTCAGCTACTTGGATTCCCATGTAGCTGTCAGAGTCTGATCCTGTAATTTTAGTTTCCTCTCCATACCCCAAGTTGGGGAGTCCAGAGACAACAATAATCAGAATTTGAGAACTGGGAAGGCCTTAGAGATCATCAAAAACTATCCCTTGATTTTGAGGCTGAGAAAATGAAGGCTCAGAGAGGGTGAGAGACTTGATCAAGGTCATCCAGCACCCCAGAGAGGATGAGAACCCTCTCCCCACACCAGGCTGGCTTCTCTGTGTGGTGCTGTGCACCGGCATGCATCCTTGGCTCTAGGTCACTGTCCTTCCTGTCCCAGGGCCCATGCAGCCGTGGGTCTCCAGGGCTGCCTGGCCTCTCAGCCACATGTCCCACCCTTCTGCAGCACATGGAGAAGCTGTCCCAACTGGCCTTCCACCCCCTCAAGATGCAGAGCTGCTACGAGAAGATGGAGCCCCTGCGGCTCGATGGGCTGCAGCAGCGTTTTGACGTGTCCAGCACGTCCGTGTTCAAGCAGCGAGCCCAGATCCACATGCGTGAGGTGGGTCCTCATGCTGCCCCACACACCCCACCCCCCAGGGTCCCCCTGTTGGCCGCATAGACTGGCACTCTCCCCTCTGGTCTGCTGCCTGTGCTCCCCATCTCCTTGGAATGCCTGTCCCTCTGTTCCCCCAGGAAGCTCCCCTTGCTCCCCTATTCCCCTTCCTGTAGGTTCCCACAGGGCCCAAGCCCCACCTATATTTCCTGTTACCTTGAAGCAGGAACTGGCCCCAGCGCTAGGCACATTATAGACAGTATGCGAGTGAGTGGGTGAGTGAGTGAGTAGGTAGCTGAGAGGATAGGTGATTGAGTGTGTAAGGGGGTGGGTGAGTGAGGGTGAGGGTGAGTGGGTGGATGAATGAGTGGGTGACTGGGTGGGTGAGTTGGTGGGTGAGTGAGTAGATGATTGAGTGGGTGGGTAGATGAGGGGGTGGGTGGGGGAGTGGGTACATGGGTGAGTGAATGAGTGAGGGGATGAATGAGTAGGTGGGTGGGTGAGGGAGTGGATGAGTGGGTGAGGGAGTGGATGAGTGCATAAGGGGGTAGTAGGCTTGGGGACCCTGACTGAGGGTCCCTCAGAGGCATGTGGGCACCATGAAACTCACCTGTTCTGTGGTGTCCCCTGTAGCAAATGGACAATGCTGTGTACACTTTCGAGACCCTCTTGCACCAAGAGCTGGGGAAGGGGCCCACCAAGGAGGAGCTGTGCAAGTCCATCCAGCGGATCCTGGAGCGTGTGCTAAAGGTGAGCGCCCCTGGCCCCGCAGGACCAGAGCTCAGTCCCCTCTGAGGATGCGCCACTCTAGGCCCCTTGTACGATGAGGATACTGAGGCTGAAGATCAGATTGCTGGCTTTCCACTTCCGGCTGGGGGCTGGTGGAGCCCACTCCCCTGGCTTCAGAGCCCACTGACCTCATGTCCTTCCTCCTCGGCAGAAATATGACTACGACAGCAGCTCTGTGCGGAAGAAGTTCTTCCGGGAGGCGCTGTTGCAGATCACTATCCCGTTCCTGCTCAAGAAGCTGGCCCCCACCTGCAAATCAGTGAGTGCACACACCCCTCCCACCTCCTGGCCTGCTCCCGTCTCTCGTCCTGCTGTTCTCTCTGGTTCTGGAGTGTCTGGTGGGGTTGGGGTGGAGCCAACAGCCCTCTGTCCGGCCTGGCCCTGACCTCAGCCTGTCCTTGTCCCGTCCCCTGCCTGGGCAGGAGCTGCCCCGGTTCCAGGAGCTGATCTTCGAGGACTTTGCCAGGTTCATCCTGGTGGAGAACACGTATGAGGAGGTGGTGCTGCAGACTGTCATGAAGGACATCATGCAAGGTATGCGCTAGCCTCACCCATGGAGAAGGCCAGCCGTGGAGCTGGGGGGAGCAGTGGTGCCTGCCGCTGGTGCTGGGTTGTTATTGTGGGGTCACTAAGGTGCAAAGAAAAGCATGAGACTTACGTGGGCCGTGCTAAGCCACTTTTAGCTGTGTGGCTTGAGGAACATAGTGTTGAGTCTCTGGGCCTTAGTATCTTCTTGGGTCATGGCACTTCTGGGAGTTGTCAGATGGGTAACCAGTAACAATGGGTGGGCTCTAGCTTGAGGTCACAGCTCCCAGAGGTGAGGCTAGACAAGTCACCTCCTAGTCACAGACACACACTCAGCCTCGCAGAGGCCTCAGGGAGACGATGGGGTCAAATTGGGCTCAATGCCCTGCACGGTGGCTTTGGTGGCCCCAGTGTGGAGCCCCCTGACCCCTCCCTTGTGCCTTGCAGCCGTGAAGGAGGCCGCCGTGCAGAGGAAGCACAACCTGTACCGGGACAGCATGGTCATGCGTAACAGTGATCCCAACCTGCACCTGCTGGCCGAGGGTGCGCCCATCGACTGGGGTGAGGAGTATGGTGGGGGCGGCAGTGGGGACAGCAACAGCCCCTGCCCCGATGCCCCCGAAGTGGCCACCATCTCGGAGAAGCGACGGCGTGCCAAGCAGGTGGTGTCTGTGGTCCAGGACGAGGAGATGGGGCTGCCCTTCGAGGCTAGCCCTGAGCCATCACCACCTGCGTCTCTGGGCAGTGTCACTGAGCTCCATGGCATGGCCCAGGATCTGCAAGCCGAGAGCCCCCCGCCCGCCAGCCCCCTGCTCAACGGTGCCCCTGGCCAGGGGAGTCCCCAGCCCATGGTAGACTCTGAGACCTCCTCACCACCCAGCTCGCCTCGCCAGCCTCTCCCGCCTGAAAAGGCTGTGGACCATGAGCCTCTCAAACCCAGTGACCAGGAGACTGGGGAGCAGGTGTCCAGCCCCAGCGGCCGGCCCCCGATCCACACCACCACCGAGAACAGCGCAGGCGTGCAGACTGAGTTCTAGGCCCATCCACCCTGGTGCTTTCATTGGATATGGCGCCAAGGTGCTCCCTCCAGGGCATTGGTGTGGCTCAGCGCCGGGCACATCTGTGCCTTACGGGGTGTGGAGGGGCAGGGCTGGGGCGGGACCTCCCGAAGTCAGGCAGGGAAGGGCCCACCTGAGTCACTTTATTGGGTTCGTTCGGTCAACACTTTATTGCCCCCCTGCTTTCTCTTCTGTTGGATGATCTCGGACGTAGGGTCTGGTTTTGGGGATTTCCTACTGTGCTGGGACTGGGACACAGCTGAAGGGGCCTGAGGAGCTCTTGGGGCTGCCTGTCCCCAGGGCTCCTTGCCTCTTGCCCTTCTTCTGTGGCCTTGATTTCCCACATAGACATAGGTTTGGCCATCCTTCTGAGAAACAGGGACATAAAAGCATTATGCTCTGTCCAAGCCAGTGAATTCTCTTCCATCTCACTGAAGGGCGCTGGAACTGGGAAGACAAAGGTGAGGCCCCATCAGTGGGTGCCCTCCTCACTTCTCCCAACTGGGCCCCCGAAGGCCAGTCTCAGAGTGAACACTGGCCTTGTTTTCTACCGAGTGAGTGAGGGGAGGTGCTCAGTGGAGGAAAAAGAGGCATCCCAGACTAGGACGACCACTATTGGGCAGGGAGTGGTCTTTAGGCTGAGCCAGGCTGGTGTGGGGGGATGGGGCTGCCTCATGGAAGGGTGGGGAAAAGGGGCCTTGGATGAAGTGAGAAAGGCAAAGAATGTGCTGGGCTGTGGAGGGGAGGTGACCCGTGGGAAGGATGGAGACAGCTGCTGGGGAGAAGTTGGGAATATCTGCGTGGAGGCTGAGATGCAGACATGAGGCCCGGAAGCCAGAGGGGGTCTCAGCTTGTCTCTGATTTGCCGGGCTCTGATTCTCTGTTCCTCCTGCCGCCTTTATGCCCACATACTTGGGGCTGGAGTGTGAGGAGAGAGGGGCAAGTTGTTTTAAAGCCAGGGCTTTCCTGTGCTGTGGATTCTTTCTTCTTTGGGCCACTTCCAAGGTACTCATTGCCTGCTGAGGGAGCTGGGTGGGGCTTCCTAGCTCCCCAAGACATGGTTGGTGGCCCTCTCTGAGGATTTGGAGGGGTAGACTATGGCCTGGAAATTCCAGGCCCATTTAGAAATGTCCTTGTGAGTCACTTCTGGGCCCGGCCTGGCTCTCTTTCTCAGCTGCTGCTTTGTGGGGGTAAGGGTCAAACCCAGGCAGACTCACTGTGGCAGCCTCCATCGCCCCAGGGGCCTGAACCTACTGGCCTTCACAGAGCACCCCCGTGCTGCTTCAGGGGAGGGCAGTAGGGCAGACACACCCTCCAGGCTCCCTTGGGCTGGGTCTCCCTCTCCTGCCCAACTCAGCCCTGTATCTTTCTCCCCTAGACTTGCTTTTCAGGGCAGAGGCCTTAGAACCACAAGATGTGTGTGCATTGGTGGCTGGTGCTCAGGGACCTTCTGATCCCTGCCCCCAGCCCTAATCTTGAATGCATCACTAATCTCTTCTACCCACCAGGTCCATCTTAAAATGCTCTCTAGTGCCTTCTTTCGGGGTTTTCCAATCATCCTTCCCATATATTGTATTGAAAATATTATGCAAACTGTTTAAGCTTCTACTAATCAATAAATGCTTTATTTAAAGCCAGTTGCCTTGTGTGTGCTGCCAGACAGGCTGCAGGAGGGGTCAGGGAGCCCCCACTGGAGACGGCGTCCAGAAATCCTCAAGACATGTCAGTCTTCCAGGCTCCTTGCTTGACCAAATACTTGTAGGTCCATGGTCTGAATTCTTAATTACCCCATTTTATAGAGGAGGAAACTGGGGCCCAGAGAAAAGGGACTTGGAGCATGACGTTCTGGCAGCTTCTGCAGCCAGACCTGTGCAGGATGCACCTTGGCAGCAGCGAGGGAGGCTGGCAGCTTTAAGATACTGCAGGGCCCTGGGACGCTCACAGCAGGCATGAACACCAGACTCATCCGCGATCCAAGGGGCGAGGACTGCTCTTTCAAGAGTCCTGGTCACAGCTAGTGTTTACTGAACACTTACTTTCTGTGGGCCACGACCTTGATGTGCAAGACCCATGAGCCCCCTGGTGACTCTAGGTATGGGTCCTCACCACCATTATGCCAATGGGTAAACCGAGGCCCAGGAAGATGGGGAAGCTTGGTTAAAGTTATGCAGCACAGAGATCCCTCCATCCCCCGCAGCTGGTGGAGGTGGGTTGCCGCATCAGCCAGGTAAAAACGTGTCGATATAGGGAGATATGACAATCACTAACCTGGGGAAGAGGACTTAGATCATACTGTCCTGTTTGGCCCTGTAGCTAGTGAGGTGGGCAGGACCCAAGGTCCCCCGTGAGGGAGGAAAGCAGGCCCAGGAGGGCCAGGGCTTGCTCATTCCACTGCCTCAGGACCCCATGGTGGCCACCAGCCTTCGTTAGGGTCCCACCCAGTTTCATATTGGATGAATGGGGAAACCGAGCCCAGAGGTCTGAAAACTGACTGGGCAGGCTATTGAACACATTGGCAGCAGAGCCCAGGCACCCCTAGCAGGCCCAAAGGCAAGGCTGCCCTTTGCTCAAGGCCATCTGACAGAAAATGTGTAATGAACGTGCATGTCTCCAGGGAGTGCGAGTGAGTGGTTCCTTCTAGAGTCCTGCGATCAACGGCCTACACTACCACATGACTGCACAACCACATGACTGCGGAATCAAGATGGTTCCAGGCCCCACACCCAGCACTTCTACCTCTCAGATGCCAGGCATTTAGTCCCCTCAGCCTCTGCTCCCTGCCTCCCCAGGGCAGCAACAATGTATGCCTGCCCAGCACTGGCCCAGGAGCATAGCCAATTCTGCACCCTCCCTCTCTCTGGACCCTGGTCTCTTCACCTGTAGACAGGAGGGCTGAATAACCTCATATTCCAAGCTCTACCTCCTCTCCTCTCTCCTGACTGAGGTGAAACACACAGTGGCTTCTCTCCCCAGCTGCCCCTGCTCCAGCCCATCCTCAGACCTTGGCCTCTGCCTACCCCAGGAGGACCCAGCAATCACTCAGAGGGAGCACTCTGGAGATGATTTATTGACTCCTGCTTTGGATCTGCAAAGCTCATGGCCTGTCCTCGAGCTGCGCGGGGTATGAGAGGTGCAGACTGGAGAGGCAGGAAGGGGCCAGAGCATTAGGGAGCAGGAGCGAGGGAGCCAGGGGGGCGGGCTTGCTTGTGGCACAAGGCCTGCACGCAACAGCTGGGCTGGTCAACCCAAGCCAGCCCTGCAGCCTGTGGCTGCATGTACACCCGCTCCACATGTGGCCTTGTAGCCTTCGTCAGGGCCTCCTACACTCCCACCACAAGCCCACTTCAGAGATGAGGACACCGGCTCCTGGAGGTGCAGTGACCTGTCCGTGGTCCCACATTCAGGGCGTGGTGGAGGCCCAACTTGGCCAGGATGCTCACTCCCGTGCTGAGGGATGGCACAGCTGCCTGTCTGTATCTTGACCCTGTCCAGGCTGTGAGGGGCCCTGGCACCAGCAGTCCAGCCCCTGTCTCTTTGTTCACAGTATTCAGACCAGGAATACCCCACCCCCGGCCCTGGCATGCTTGGGTATCAAGGGGGCACCACCCCAGGCTGTGGGGTAAGGGGCCGGGCGGGGGTGGGGGGGCCGGGCATGTGCGGGAGCCTGGGTGGTGGCACTCAGCTGCTGTGGTAGATCCGGAGGCGCTGGGCGATGTCCTGGCGGCACAGAGGGCAGGTGTGCAGTGGCTGGCAGCACTGCTGGCAGCAGCAGACGTGACCACAGTTGAGGAAGATCATCTCGGCCTGTGGGGGGAGAGAGAGCATCTGGGCCTGGCCCTCCCTGGTTCCTGGAGATGGGGCAATGGATTCCCAGCCCGAGACCCCCTGTGGTCGTCATTTAAAAAATCTATCTGTAATCATTATAAACCATGCAAACACCACAGAACTATATATGGATTATGGAGAGTGAAAATCCAATCCCTTTGCTAACACTTTAGTATCTATTTCTACAGATTTTACAAAAGAATATAAGCATGTATATTCCCCTTTCTTCTCCTTTCTCTTAAATAAGAGCAGGACCATATTCTATGCGTGCTGTAAGACTGCTGTTCTCTGCCTCACCACCCGGCTCGGACGGCTCTGTGTCCCTCTGCTGTCCTCTGCCTCACCACCTGTCTGGACGGCTCTGTGTCCCTTTCTGTGTACCAGTTGTGGGCAGTGGCCCTCTGTCTTGGACGGCTCTGTGTCCCTCTCTGTGTACCAGTTGTGGGTGGTGGCCCTCTGTCTTGGCTCTGTCCCTCTCTGTGTATCAGTTAGGGTGGTGGCCCTCTGTCTGGGCTTATTTAACCAGCCTGTGCTGTCGGATATTTAGGTCGTTTCCAGTTTTTGACTGTTTGGTGAACTTGTTCAACCCCTGCATTCTTGATTCTAAAGGAAACAAACAAACCAACCAACCAAACAAAAAAAACCCAACTCTACCCGATGGCTCAGAGCTCTGCTTCAGCATCTCCTCTTTCCAGGAGTTTCTCCAGAGGAAATAAGCAAGAATGAGCTCCAGACTACACGTGTGTTCAAGGCTGTTTGACACAACGGTGCTTGTAATATCAAGACTCTGGAAGCCGCCTGAAGGGCCCACAGCAGGGGTTTGCTTAAATTTATAACCAGCTGGTGCTGCTGTCCTTAGGCGTATCTAGAGTATGGCAGGTATGGCATGTGCCACGCTGGAAGGGGGTGCCAACGGGCAGTGTCCGCTGCCAGCTCTGAGATCCTTCAGCAGTTTCACTAATGACCGTGGGCACTCTTTTCCACAGAGACGCCTCTGTCTCTCACCACATGCCTGGGTCTGTTAAAGACCATGGGGGGATCAGACTGCTACCAGTGGTCACCTCCTCCAAGTAGGATCAGGTTGGAGGGAAGGGAGCCTTTTTATTCTCTATACTGCTTTTTCATTTGACTTTCACAATAAGCATTAATATCGTAATAATTTTTAAAGGATGGTTAAAAAAACAGCCTCTGCAGGGAAACTCAGATGACTGAGTACTTAATGACTTGGGAAATCTTCCCTATTAAGGGGAAACAGTCCTTTTGAAAGAAGAAAATGGTCCAGAAAACAATGTCATCATTGCTCAGTCAGTCATGGGATTATAGGTCATTTTTATTTCCTGTCTTGTTTGCTTTCCTGTACTTCCCAAAATTCCTAAAGAACACGATATACGGACGCAACCAGAAAACGTGTTGGGGACACTCCGGAGGATGGCTGCAGGCACAGGGCCGGGGGTGGAGAGGGTGGCGGATG